TGGGGCTCAAAAACACATATTTTTTTCTTTTTCTTTTCACTTGTTTTGTTTTCTGAGAAAGAAAGAAAAACCTACTCCAGTGGAAAAATAGATTTTCCTGGCCATATTTCCCCAAGGACAGAAACAATACGAAAGCTAAGTGGAGATTGAGCAGCAGATAGTTCATGTAACATTTACCAGGTTCTCGAGAAACTGGAGACACATGACAGAGGGGCTGAGTTCAGATAAGCGTTAAAGAGTCGGGAGGTGAACAGTAAACATTTAACAACACAATCTTTGCAGTATGAGGTATAGAGTGCAGTAAGACAGTTTAAGAACCAAGAGGTTTTTTTTTAATTGATTTTGCATTTGCACTAAAGCACATAAGGTTTCAAATCAAATGATGATAATGAGGTCCAAGTGCTAACTCTAGTTTCAGGGTGAAAAAATATTTAATATAAAATAGCACTTTTTTATTTAGAGTTTCTACATGTTTCCGTTGAATGTAAGACTTTTTAAGACATTCAATCAAAACATTAACTTTCTTAAGAAAGTATATATAGTAGTTTGAAAATTTAAAAACAGTCCTGAACATGGAAACAAGGCAAGTAAGTTTTTTTCAAGTGGACTGTCACAATGGAGGATGATCATTTCAACTCTTTTTTTTTGCTGCTAATCACTGAAGGGGAAATAAGCTGCTGAGCCATTTGCAAATATGGTTGAGTTTATACTGTTTACTTGTCTGATTATATTTTGTACCCTCATGACAGGTAATGTATACAAACGGTCACAATTCCTGAATTGTTCATCTGGTGGATGGAAAAAAACTCTTAAAGTCACAGTTTTATTTTAAATTCAAAGTGCAGGAGAAAGACACACATACACTACTACTAAGTGCATCATGTTGTTCTGCATGAGCAACGTAACACTGTCATACAGCTTCAATCCCCATAATAACCCCCTGACCGATGCCATATGAGCCGAAACCTCTTGTCTGTCTCCACTCATTCATATCAGTGGGATTAGTGAGGATGACACAGACTCCCACTGCCACGTGACGCCTGTATAGTAGCATCCACACACACCCGCACACACATCCATGCAAGCACTCATACACACAAACACACACACACAGATGGCCGCAAGGATTTCCCCCACTCCTAATTCTCAGCCTCTTTCCTAGACAGGTAACGTAAGCCGCTAGCTCTCCGCAATAACCCGTTACCATGTCAAATACAACAAGTAAGGCAGGGGTCACAGTCAGTCAGTCAGGACATGGCTGTGTTGCCTCTGTACGCCAGAACATGAGATTTCAGTTTGGACCTTTACAATGTATACAAGGGTGTTTGCACCATATCAGATGCAAATGTTGAGTTTTATCTTATTTTACTTCAAAGTAAAACATTTGAGTAATGTAATGCTAAAATAAACTTTATAAAATATATATATATATATATATATATATATATATATATATATATATATATATTTATATATAGTTCTGGTCAAAGGAAGACAGAGACAGACAGAGGAAACTTAAGGTCTTGTCCCCATGTCCTGCTGTCAGTTCTGTCAGATTCAGATGAAGACAAACACTTCCTGCTGCTGAGAGAGGGACATTTGTGTGTGTGTGTGTGTGTGTGTGTGTGTGTGTGTGTGTGGCAGCAGCACTGAGCCCAAACACACACATATATCACAAGTTGCAGGTTACAGATGTGGGGGAATATAAGCACTAAATCAAAGCCTTCGTAAAATCAAAAAGCAGAGCGGCTGCAGAACGCAGAAACTCTCTTGTGTCTTAAACTCTCACAGAAATACAGATGTGTCCAGAATCAGTCTGAGGCCACACTGACACACAGGGAATGTTTTCTCTCTCACACACTGGAAGACGGACAGGAGAGTGCACGCTGAAATCAATGTCAGACACCTGAGCAAAGCAGTTTAGCCAAGGACAGCTGAGAGCACATTAGGCATGCATCATCGTGGATGTCCTTCCAAACACAGGCAGAGAAATTAAAATCCCATTCAGGTCCCTCAAGGGAGCCGTGCACTGGGAGGTTACATAACTGTTAGTCACAATGGTGATGGCCTCCTGTCAAAAAGAGAAAAAAGAGACCTGGCATGTTTTTGATCAGCCTCTCTGCAGGCCGTGGATACAACCTGTGCACAATGTCATCGAGAAAACAGAGTTATACAGGTGAACACGTAAACTGACACCTCCCATAAGGCTGTGAGGGCCTGTTGCCAAGTTCTACTCTCTCTCCTGCCTGTAAGCTACGAGCCATGCCCCCACACACACCACCGCTGCCCCGCCTCCTAATTCTGCAGCCCAGAAAAGTACAGCTGAAGATGTTCTGTGGATTATCTCCACTAGGAAACCATGTGCCGGCATTTGTGGACAACATGCAAGTGTTCACCTCAGTTAATCTACTGAGCACGCACACGGTGCATACCACTAGCCAATCACATCTCTAGCTAGCCGGGTGGATATTCTGCCTCACGTGACACGAAAGATTCGCTTCACCCACCTGAGCCACTGACAGACACCTCCATGGCCAATGCGAGTGTAGCACGGCGCTCTCCCTGCTATAGGTGGAAGGGAACTGTTGTAAGTCAGCTCGACTCAAACTTTTAATGCCATTACTAACGCTACTTACAGCTTTAGCCAACCAAGACGGCGCCCAATGGAGACGAGCCCTCCCACCTGCAACTTGCACAGAAATATTTTTAGGCACAAGCTATTTCACTTCCCTCACATCTTTTCTGCTCTCAGAACAAATAAGAATTCGACTGTATGGAAATGAAGATGCCTCAACCGTGATGTGTAAATGTACACTTTGATGTGAGATGATAATAAAAAGATGACTAGTTTTATAAGAAGAACTACCAATTTATTCAGTGTGTGCAAAAGGAATAATGTGTCAACTTTTCATCAATATGCATGTTTGAACATAAAACACCATGCATGTAATATGAGAAGCTCTTCACTGGTGAACTGGAGCCTTTGCACAAAAGTGCGAAGTAGTCTCTTGAGAGGTGCACTGTTCACAGAGAGAAGGGAGGGGCGTAAGAGAAATGCTTTCATTAAGCGTCTTAAAACATTTTTCAAACTAAACTGAAAATGGCTACACGAAAAAAGGAACAAGTGTTCAAAATAAATGTGCAACGCTGCATGCAGGGCTCCACTCTTCCCCTTTTTCCTTAAATGTGAAGATTATCCATCTCTGATTACCACTGAAACATATGTTGCCTAGCAACACACAATTAAAAAGTATGCTTTCCGATCATCTGCAAGGGGCTGCCCCTTTATCAGATGAAGTTACTGAAGCAACAAATGTCAGCTACATACAAATGAGCTTGTTGTGCTAAGAGTGTATTTGAAGGGAGGGCGGGGGGGTGGCTACCACTGTGACCTTGGAGAGCGGCGTATATTTTCATGAAGCTCGAAAAAGGGACCTCCCACCCTGCTTCCCCCAGAGTCCCCCCCCCTCCTCTGGATCTTGCACCTCACTTCTTATTTCCTTGACAACACATGAAGGGAAGCCACTTCATAAAAGTCATTACTCTATATAAAAAGTGCAGCAGCCCACAGACCCATTAGAGAGGCAGGCAGGATACGGGGTTAGATGGCTGAAAGGAAGGTTAAAAAGATTCAATTCTTCCATAAGCTCATCAGCTCTCATCAGGAGGGAAATATATCAGCTTGTTATGAGCTGAGAAATCAAGCCCTTTATGTGGATGCCTAGCTGGAGAACTGAATCTCACTGTACGCTGAACATAAAAAGCTGCCACACTACTTGCATTAACCTTGCACAAGCCATAGAGGTTCTGCAGAAAGATAAACATAATTATGTGTTCTGTGAAGCCACTAACAACACATTTCAAAAGACAAATGTAGTTAAAAAGGAAACGCCGCTGCAGGAAACAAACAAAATGACAAGTTTACTCTTATTGTTTGCAACGGTACATTCTCGAAAGCTTCAAAAGTAATTTTTTTCATGGCGATCACTCTATCAAAATGTAAATTGAGTCTTAAGACTTTGTAAGTGAGCGTTGTAACTGCTGTTGTTCGTGATAATATCTTAATCCAATATATCTCACACTGCCTCAGCTGTGAGATGTTCAGGAGAATGTTAGAATGTGAATGAGAACAGCACAAAGCTCATGAAATTTCCATTCATTGTACAAACCCACTGTCAGAAATGACAATGATTGAATTTGTGTCTGAGAATGAACAAACAAATGTGTTAAAGAACATTTAGCTGCCGCGCAATGCAACCACAATCTCAAACAGACAACAGAGTGTCTATTAAAAACAGTTGCCTATTATAGTCTATGCAACTATACATCCAATTAGTATAATTGGATTTGAGGCAGTTAAGCCATTGATTAGGAGAGAGTCCAGCGTAAAATAGAACGGCAGCAACTCTGCATCAATAAACCTTTACAATATAAAGAGAAGCTGAATGTGTGTATGTTTTGGATATTTTCTTACTCTGTGTTGTAAAAATTAAGAGAACAAACAGTTAAGACCCTGATATTTAGTGCTAGCAGGTTGTAAAGTGTTTTGTGAGTGCTCACCGGTTATCACATTAAAGTAAAAAAAAGCAAGGTGGCTCAACAACACAACACCAAAAGAGCACTGTGGATTCAAAGGATTCTGACCAATAAACCTAGTGAAAGAAAAGCCCCAAAAAATGTTGACCTCAATAACTGGAGCGCCTCTCATAAAAATTCAACGTGGTGATGAGACAGGATCCCCTCCAGCAAATGACACAACTCTGTTGCAATACATGTATAAATAGTTGTGTAGTTAAAAAGAAAAGGCTTCTCATAGCAAAGCTGCTTAGCTTGTCAGATACATCTTACATGCTACCCCTCCATTCAAGTGTCAGAGTTAAATCTCACTCTACATTTATCTACAAGACAAAATCCAAAAAAGGAAATATCACCAAAACCCACTGAAAACAATACAAATCAGCAAAAATTACAAAGAAAACCAGAGAGACAGTTTGAAGACATTAGTGAAATAGGTGAGGTTTGACATTACTTGTGTCAGGCGTGGTGATCATGGTTGAGACAATGACAGGAGGACCAGTGCGACGTCCAACCATCTTGCTGTTGTTAAGATTTTGCGCTTGGAGAGCGGAGGAAGAGGTTACAGGAACAATGGTACTTTCTGGGGCAGCATTGATCCCTTTCCGGAGCAGTTGAGGGCTGTGAAGGGGGCTTGGCGCTGCTGCTGGTGATGCTGGAGGAAGGTTGGGTGCTCTCTTCATCAGCTCCATGGGGGAATAGGAGCCAGAATAGGTTTTTGGTGCTGCTCCATGGGTGCCTGGGGCTGATGGAGGCTGTTGTCCAAGAGCAGACATGGCAATACCAGTGTGGGCATTATACATTGAGAAGGGTCTTCCCTGAGTCACAGCATTGCTATATCCTCCAGGGCTAATTGGAAAAGCTCCACTTCCCATAGGCCGTGATCCTGGGTAGGTGGTGGTCTCCAGTAGGTGTTGGGAGGGTGCACTACTGGGTCTTCTGCCAAGAAATTCTCCCATCCTGGGGGACACATTCTGGATAGTGCTGGCAGGTTGCTGTATCAGGTTGGGGTCCATGGTCAAACCCTGGGGCTGCATGTAGAGGTCATTGCGATGGCTAAAGCTGTTGGATCGTGTTCGTGGTGCTGTTCCACTTGTCTTGCAACCAAGCACCACACGTGAGAGAACACGGGCCTGGGCCAAGTTAGGGGCCACAGAGCGGACATCATGGTCCTCCATCATCCCCAGGGTGGCATGGGAATCAAAGCCATTTTGCAGCAGAAGAGTGATAGTGCTCTCAGCCAAGCCTTCAGCTCGCAGGGAAGCCAGGAAGGTAGGGTCCACCATCTTCTTGGGGTCTGCAGCACTGGGATGGTGAAGAGGCAGACCAGAGGTAAATCCAGCTGTCGTAGCCACCATTGCTGAACTGGCGTCATAATTTGGGTCATAAGGTAGCCTTTGAGAGGCTATAGCTCCATAAGCCCGGGGGAAAGCTCCGTCCATTCCCTGGTATGCTGGGTCCACCACAGTATTGGTGGCAGCTGGCTGACAGTTCAGGGGCACGCAGTTTATATTGTTGTAAGCTTGGTGAGCAGAGAGAGATGGTGGCCCAGCAGCGTAAATAGGAAGAGGGGGCTGGCCCCCGTAGACTGCAGGACCAGGAGAGCTGCCGCCAATACGCTGGACGTCTGGGATCATTTTAGATCCTAGAGTTTCCCTGTACAAACGGCTCAGCTCATGAACAGGAAGGGGAGGAGGGGGTGGAGGAGGCGGGGGAGGAGGGGGAGGGGGAGGAGGCATGGGGTTAGGTGTTGAAGCAGAGGCCAACACGGTAGGTGTGGCCCTTGCCTGTCCTTGATCCCAGGTAGGCCTCACCCCCCTAGCGTTGGACCCATAATGCGACGCTGATCTGGTGAGCAGGTGCTGGTTATCCCTATAAAACCCGGACTCTTCAGGTGGCTGACCAGATAAGGTGGAACCAGTCAGGTAGTAATCCACAGGTGGTGCGGAGGCCAGGCTTGCCATCATTTGTCTGAGGTAGAGGCTGCTGCTGCTAAGATCGGGCACAGAGTTCTTCCTCAGTAGCTGTCCATGCCGGTCCTGTTGGATCTGGGAAGACTGGAGGACTGGATTCTGTTTCTCATCAAGATCTACGTGATGGTGAGACCATACTCCACCATCACCCCCACTAAGTGCCAGAGAATTCCTGCGACCTGCCATGGTGCCACAGTAGTGACAGCGACTTGAAATCTTGTGGTTCTTTCCTTCAATCCATTCAGGACCGTGATGGCTCAGAGAGCCACCAAAATGCGACTGCTCACTTGAGTTAGGCATCAGTGAAGACAATAATGAGGACAGCTATAAAAGCAGAAAATAAACCTGGGTATTGTGTTTCAACTCTCCAGTTACACTCCCCCCCAATCAAAAAGGAGTAGTGATGAGAAGAGGAGAAAGGTGAAGCATGAGGTCCCCTTTTACCTGATCTGCTGCGGTAGGCAACCCCCCTCCCCTCACTCTAAAGAGTGTGCTATCATGTAGCTCCCTGCTGGCAGCATATCTAAATAATTCAGCCCTGGAAACATTAGAAATCCACAAGGGCATGAGGCACAACATGACAAACACAGAGTAAACACATGCACACATTCAAACTGAAAAAAACACACCTTTAGGTCGAGGATCTACTCCATTCTACAGCAGGGATCATGCTTGTGGTTGGCATCACGCTTACATTCTATACTAAGACCTAGAGTAGAGAAATTGGGCTAAAAGCACATGCTGGACAATGACAACAGAATGGAGGAGGGGATGGGATGCTCTAATCCAATGAGTATGCTGCACGTCACTGGTAGGACAGCCCTCCCGTCTACAGCATTTGCCACAAGGGGATTAGCATCAAACTAAAACCTGCTTAAATCCGCTGCCCCCTGTGACATCACTTGAACCAGATAGTGTACATAGCCAGCACGCTGCTGAGGCCCCTGGATGTGTTCACAGAGTGTAAAGCTACAGTGTTATGGTGCTTAGTGGTCAGTGCTAACCACTTCATTGGTCTACAGCCGGAATCCCTCTGAGCATGAATGGATCCAGAGGGATCGGGGAGTTTGGGGACTGGCATGCTTGGTGAAGTGTATCTCTGGAGATAGGGGGAGGGGAGCGGTTGTGAAGGCCAGACACAAGCAATGCTGAGGGTCAGTTTTAATCCAGTGGCCACTAGAGGAGAGCCAGGAGCTGCTCCAATTGAACCGTGGAGAATGCACAGCCTCTTCTACTGGGCAAGGACAGATTCACATATGCAAATATACACATACAAATAATTACACAAGCAGGAAAGAAGGAAGAACATGCAGCCCCCCCCCCTAGAAGTTCAATGTACACTCTGGCCCAAAAAAATTATTTCAGATCAATCAATGATTTATAAAGCATCAAAAAACTGTAAAAAAAATCTTTAATTTGCTTATTTTTCTCACCATCAGTCCAAAGCTGACTGTTTAGTTGCAATATATATACATACAATATATGAAATATATATATATATATATATACACACACATTTCAAGATATACCTTGAAATATGCGATGTTTATTTTGTGAACAAAACTTAAAACAAATGGGGTCTTTTTTCCTCACAGTTACTGCATACACCAAATGTACTCGAGAACAGATATGGCTTATCTGAGATGTTGCCATCAGAGATAACTGTTGGTGTTTACGTGCCATGACAAGAGCAATGTAAACAAAAAAACAGTGGCAGAAGGAGAAGAAAAGAGGGCTTTGATAAGAGGGTGATGGGGGGGGGGGGCTGATAAGGCTGCTGGCTTTGCCTTCACCTGCAAGACAGACAATATGGGAAAGTACAAGGCATGAGGAGAAGGATATGATTGGACTGCGCTGGACCGTGACAAGTAGATGGCTCCAAGCCTGTTTCTATTCTATACTTTATTTCTGTGTGAAATAGGCAACAAGGGTTTAAAAGGAAGATTTTTTTGCGGCAAGTCTCCAGGGATATTTTCTGGATGCTCCTGAAGCTGAGACACAGAGACAGCGTGACTGAGATGAGCTAAATTTATTACAGTTTAGGAGTGACAGGCGACTGCTGTAGTGCCGTGTCTCTTTACGTTGTCCCACTACCTGTCAAGCAACAGAGGGGAATGCTATAACCAACTTCTTTCATTTTAGAGCTTAAGTGACGCAATCATGACATAAGACCAAAAGCAATCGTTTCATCATGGAACATCCAAATTGAAGAACATTAAGTAGGTCAAAACAAAAAGAAAGCATTTCATTTTCCTTATGGCTCTGCACAGTCCAGGATGATGCACTTCAAAAAGGATGGTTTCTTTCATTGGAGGTAGAGCATACCTAGCAATTTAGTTGAAAAGATTTCTCAGCATCCTCCCAGTCTCCCTGCGCTTTTTTGTCAGCTGTAAAACACACCATTAATCACTGTGTTGTATCTCTCGACGGCGATCGCAATAACTTCTTTTAATAAGCCCCTTCTAGGGCCGTGTGTCACTCAGATCCCCGCTCCCCGACAAAATATTAATAACAATAATAAACATCTCAAGTGGGGTCGGGCTGGTGTTGTTAAATCTGAAACAAGAATATGACATATCATATCTCCTGCCATGCAAATTGCTGTATTTCCCACAATTCATAAGCAGGAGAAGCTGGGGAACCATATTCATCTTGTCTACATCCTCTGATATGCCTCTCATGAGAGCTCCATAATTAAGTGAGCATGCTATATTACACTCATCAAGCAACAGGGACCCCATACTTGCTAGCATGAATAATATAGCAGAAGAAAAGAAACCTAGAACTTACACGATGGATATTTGGTGAGCAGCGTCAGAACTGATGCCAACTCCCGCTCGCTCACTAGCTCACAGCCAATCATACAGCTCTGTCAAAGACCTCTGGGTACAATGTGTTGAACAGACGTCCAGCAACAGTCATGCCTTTGGAGCAATCTGGCCATCTTTCTAGGGCACAGGACGCTAACGGCAGGACTTGGCAGGCAGGGATAGCTGCACAATGATTTACATAGCTGCGACTCTACAACTGCTGATCCATTAAACTTTCATAGGGGCTTCATAAATTAAAACCATGACTGCAAGATCTTGAAAATTTTCCTCAATTACTGTGATTGTACAGTACATTAAAGTTTTAACAAGCCTCTGGGCCCTTTCTCACTCCAACACAAGCGCAGGGAGGAAGGAGGGGCAACAGGGAGAGAGAAACACATGGTACCAATTCTGGTCTGATGGCTTTCGGAGGGTTCACATCTGCTGTGGAATCGAGACGCTGGCCTCTTTGCCACCTCCCATGTCAAACAGACACATGGGTGGGAGAAAGATGGGGCACAACGAGAGACGCTACTCCAGAGCTTTTATTTGCAGGACAAGACTTCTGCTGGACTCGGTGAGGCAACCGATTTGAGTTTTGTCTTGCATTTTAGCAGGATGGTTTGTTCCCTCTTTGCCTCGTGCGCAGCCCTGCACTCCGCCCGCCTATCATTATAAAGCCAGTGGTCCATACTGCATCACAGATGGGGCAGACAGAAGGGAGAGACGACAGCCCGCTTGCTTTTTGGAGAGATGAAGTGTGCAGCTGAGTGAGAGAAGAGGGAGGGACAGAGAGCGAGAGAGGGAGAAGAAAAGAACGGAACAGAAAATGTGATTTGCCTCCCTACCTCACTGATGAAAGCAGATATGAGGTCTAGTTTAATGCAAGAACAACTTTACAATGCTGTGGTTGCTATTAAATATATAGAAAATATACATACACAACATGTAGGAAAATCTGACATTCATCATTCATGTACATCTACTTTAGTGTCACTGCATGGTCTAAGAAAAACGCTATGCTCTTTCACATAGAGATAACCCAACCCAAGCAGTAGAATAAAATATGAAGAATATATGTATGGAAAGTATGACAAAACAAAAAACACTGTATAATATTAGTAACATTTCTGAGTTCTTGATTTACATAACAAAGTATCTGTTACTGATATCAACGGAATTTCGAATGCTCGGCTTCACTCCACTATTACCACTGTGCAGACGGCCTCCAAGTGAGTCACCAAGATGGCAGCTCCTATATCCAGGATATTTTGGCTTCTTTTTCGCACAGTGAGATTAGGGAGAGACAGGTCACCCATCTTTATTTAAAGTCTGTGGTTCTGACCAAGTAAAATTAGTAAGAATAGCCTAAATGCTAGTTGCATGCTTGCAGCAGAGACCCTCATTTGCCACAACTGCATGCAAAGTTAAAAAAATATATTGGTTATAAAGAAATCAACAAAGGAAAGAACAAAAGTCTGATGGACTATTGTGTTTTGTTCAGCATGTAATATGGATAAATTATATTCCTAATTACACAGCCATAAAGTGAGTCATGTAACACATGAATAAATGCACATGTTGATTAAAACATTATCTGAGTAGATTAGAGCGGCTCTAATCCAACCCTGAGGGGAAATGGCTATTGCATTCCACAATCAAAACAACAATCTTAGCATAGGAAGAAAAATTAAAAACAACAGACCAGGAGCAGAACTGTCCTCCCTCTCAGCAACGCAGCCCGACACTGCAAAATAATCATAAGAAAAAATGGTTCAGCTCAAATTAAGCTGAGAACATGAAAGAACCTGAGGCTGAGGAACAAAGGCCGAGGCAGATCACACATCATCCGCTCAGACGACAGGAATGAATCTCGTCACCTCTGAGAAAGAAGGAATGAGAGAAAGAGTGAGAGGAAGAGGGCGCTCCTCTCTCCCCTCCTCTTCCTCACAACGCAGAATTAAAGCTGATGCTTCCCAGCAGCTGCTTTGATTGAGCTAACTAGCAGCTTTTGATAAAACAGTTGCAACCGGCTCCCTGCCTCTTTATTTGCAGACAGGACAGATTATGCTAAATACATATCAAGGACTTAAATGGCTGAATCAGGCTTGTCATCTAACCACAGGGATTCCTTAGATACTGCATTTCGGATCCCTCTGCCAATGTACATCCGCAAGAATGAACAATTTGGGCAATGGTATAATGTTAAAAAAACATTTATAATATGCAAACTGTCTTGGATGACAGGAGTTGATTTTTAATGTAGGGAAAACAATAGTAACAAAGGCGACAGGGTTTGTTGGACAGTGCAGAGTGTGTTGTCTCAGCAGACGCTCTTAAAAGAGAACGCTCCAGATTCCCACTTGAAAGAGATCGAGGAGAGACGGCACGAATCTCGGCTTCAGCTGGTCTGTATCTGTTTGCCAACTGCGGGCCTGGCTGAAAGAGCGGACCTGGACCGAGATGAGTTACAGCCGACAGTAGCCAAAA